ACTATACAAAAATACCAATTTGGCTTTCACCAATAGAAGCATTAAAACACCCAAATTTAACAGAATTAAATAAAATAATAAGATACAGAGACGTAATAGAACAACAAGGAAAACTAAAATCAAAACAAGAATTGGAATTGGATCTAAACAGATATTACTGGTGGACATACACACAAATCCAATCTAAATATAAAGAAGATACAAAAACATGAAATACAAAGAGAACAACATGAATTAGACAAAATTATACTAGGGGCAGATGAGAAGCTAATTAGTAAGATATAAATTTTTATTGTGATACAAAATGGAAGAGGAGATAGTGAAAGTCACAATGATTAAATGGGCACAGAACTTTAATTGCACAATAGATTTAGAGAGATGGGAAACAATGTGGCAAATAAATTCAAAACTAGCATTATCCGTGGCATACAGGGATAATCACCTGAAGATGTTTTATAGATGGCATCTTCCACCGACAAGACTTGCAAAGATGTTCCCAAATAATACCTCAACGTGTTGGAAGTGTAAGAAAACTAATGGAACATATTATCATCTATGGTGGACGTGCCCGGCGGCAAAAATTTTTTGGACAAATATAAAGAAATGGCTAGAAAAAATAATAGACCAACCAATTGAAAGAAAGCCGGAAACATTCTTATTAGGAATATTCACAAGAACATACACCAAAGAAATAAAATATCTGATTCTACACATAACAGTCACATGAATAACATATGCACAAAATTGGAAACAGATGAAGTGATAGAAAAAGTTTTAGAACGTACCAAGATGCACGTTAACAAAAATTAAAGACAAATTATTACATAATTTGGAACAAATGGTATGAATGGCTTGAGACTAGAAATAAAGAACAATAAATACAGGGGAGAATCTAAAAATGTAAAAAATGTATGTAACAAATATATAGAAATTATAAAATTAAAGCTATCAGTGTTAGAAAATACAATGTAACCAAAGAAAAAGGAACAATGAAGAAAATGAAACAGTAAGAGAGATACAGGAGAAAGGTACAAAATGGAAAGGATCACTAAAAAACACTGGGTAAAAAGAGGATATATTTATATGTTGTATGTTATGTGTTTGTTGTATTGTGTTATAATAAAATATTTTTTAAAAAAAATAAAAAGGAATGTAGTTATGTACATTAGTTTTGCCCTGCATATTCCACTGAAAACCAGTTTGGTGTAATGGTTAAGGCATCAGGTTAGAACTAGGAGACTGAGTTGTAGTGCTGCCTTATACATAAATCCAGCTGGATAACATTGGGCCACTCACTTTCTCTCAGCCCTAAAAAGGAAGCAATGGCAAACCACTTCTGAAAAACCTTGCCAAGAAAATTGCAAGGTCCTGTAGAAATCCAAGAATCAGACATGATTGCACAGAAGAAGAAGAAATACAAAGCAACCTTAAAAGCCCCAAAAGTCTTATGAAAAGTAAACTTATCCCATGAGATCCTTGATTCTAAAAGATGCCCCAGGTTTCCTTAAAAAAAAAAAAACGAGACCCAACACTTCAGGAAAATTTTGAGAATGCAAGAATTTGATTTCTATTCAAGGCAAAGTGCTTTTCATTTTATGCACAATCCAAGTAACTTCGATTTCCCTTTTCTAAAAAGTTCAATAATGAAGGGAGAATGCATGTCATAATAGTACAACTTTGTTCCAATTATTCAAATTCAGGCAGAAACAAACTCTGATTGCTACTAATTTATAGCTGTAATTTCATACAATCCATAGGTCTATTATCACTCAAATACACTGATACATTGGGGTTGTGCAGCGCTTCAGATTCCATTTATTTAATGGTGCTTTGGCGAGCTCAGGAGCATGATTATACTAGTTCTCGATATCTTAGACCAGCGTTTCTCTATCCGAGCAACTTTAAGATATGTGGATTTCAACTTCCCCAGTCAGCATCTGGGAGTTAAAGTCCATATATGTTAAGTATACTTAGTTGAGAAGCATTGTGTTACAGCAGTGACACTTTTTCCTGTGAGTCTGGCTATCTAAATGGCTGTCTATAACTACTTAATGATACCAAAGAAACAAAAACATGTTTTAAATAATTGTATGCAAGTCTTAAATTCATTCATCTATGCTCCCTATAATATGCTTTTCAGATTGAATTTGACATAATGGGACAGTCCTAAATAATTAGAAATTACTTATACAATAATTTACAAGGTTTTTCTTCATGTGATGACCCAGGGCGTGGCAAGAAAGCAACACAGCCAGAGAACAGGTCTAACTCCCCTTTATTGCTCCAACTTTGCCCCCAAGCATCCCCACATTTAGTACAAGTCCTGGAGCAAAGTTCTCACACACACCTTAAACAGCCTCTGGCTGCGAGTAGTCCAGTAAGCATGGTGAGCAAAGCAGTAACCAAAGCCAGGAGTCCAGTAAGAAGGTTTGCAAAGCAGTAACTAAGTTCAGCGAAGCAGGCAAACTGGGCAAGTCCCACAAGACAGCACAGTTGACATCATGGTGGTACAATCACAGAGGAACAGGTCTCCGCATTCCCTGTGCTGAATTCTTCCTGTTTGTGGCTCCGGTAGGAGCCAAAGCTGCCCTGTAGAGGTGGTGAAGCAAAGAGGGACACCCTGTGAGGTCTGGAAGAATCACAGCTCTCCTGTCCGGCCCAGGGTTTGTTTTTTTTTCCTCAGCCACAGCAAGAAGCAGAAGCAGCCTAAAGATGGCTGCTGCAAAGCTGGGACAATCGAAGAACAACAGCTAAGACTTGTGCTGGAGAGAAGAAGGTGAGCCGTGTTGGAACTGGGGGAGAGGATTTTTCTTTTGCTTTAAACCTAACCCCAAGAAACAATTCAGAATCATTTGCTCAGAACTATGTGTTAAAGCATCATTTAAGCATTTTAGGGGGACTCTGAAGAAATATCTAACTGGAAATGAAAGGCGCAGGAGAGTAAATAATAGATTTTGAAATAAACAGAAAATGGGACTCCCAAACTGGGAAGGAGCAGCACTGGGAAGGTATTTTTAAATGTTGGAATTATTTATTTACAAAACTTATTCTGCTTTCACAATTGTTTTATAATCAAAATGACAATGGACTAGTAAACTGAAATCTAAATTGAGAGTGCCACCTGCTGTCAAAAAGGGAAATTGCAAGCCTTCTACTTATGAAATACAGTGAAAGTGAAAATTCCATTGGATTATTTTTAGCTATCCTATGAGTACTGGTGATCCAAATATGAAAATGAGGAAGTAATTCAATTAAAGAGACATTGGATTATCATACTAGAGGATTAAATTTGTAGAGGACATAAAGGGGCTCTTGATAACCTCTGGGACTACTTAAATGAAACTGATTGTTAACCTATGAAACATAAAGAACTGGGACTAGTTACTCCTTGAAGTGTAATTCAAAGACTGAATAAATAGTTTGACTGTTGGATAAAAATCAATTTTCTTTTAAAAAAACAAAATAAGATACTTAAAAAGGAAGAAAGAGTGGAATTGTACAGGAGATGGATTTACTCTTTCAAAATGCAAAAGATATTATGGATAAAGGACTTAAGGAGATTATGGAAAAAATGGAAAATACCATACAAGAGATGATGAGTAGATGAAGATATCCAGGAAAGGGAGGAGCCACAGGAAGAAATGAGGAAGGAAGAAGACAAAGAGGAGATAACAATGAAAACAATAGTGATTGATGAATTAAACCTGGGGGAAAACATATTAAGAGAATTAGAAGATATGTTTGAAATGGAGGCTGGGGCTTGGGTAGAAATTTTAGAAGCTAGGCAGTGGAAGAGGGTAGAGGTCGGGGGAACACCTAGATTGGACATCCAAGAAATAGGGATAGACGGAGATTTAAGAGAGGAATTTGGGAGGCAAGTGGGGGGGGGAGCATAGCAATTAAAGTATTGAAGCAGACAAGAGACGATGGATAGATGATTTTATTGTTCTGATTTGCTTTTCCTTCTTCCCTTTCTCTTAAAGCATAGCAATTAAAGTATGAAACAGGCAAGAGATGATGGATGATTCCTTTTTTGTTGTTCTGAGTTGCTTCTACCCCTCCCCCCCCCAATTCTTTTTTTCTTTTGGCAGGTGATATGATTAGAAGTTAGGTAAGAAAGAAAGTTTTCTAATAAAGGGTGACTGATTAAAAATTAGAATAAGTGATAGAAATAAGAATATTAATGTATACATTTTTATCTTATAAAATGAAAGTAATGAGAAAATGTGGAATAATTGAATAATGATAGACTGCAATCTAATGTAGATGTGTGTTATTAGAAATATATGATTGAGTGTAATAATTATGTTTAATCTGATCAATTTCATTTGTATTGGAATGTATGGTGCCCAGGTGCCACACTGTTCATGCATTGATTTGACATTTTTATAAAAAATATTTTAAAAAATAAAAAACCTGGGGGCGGGGGGAAGACAGCAATCTCCAGGGGTCAGCAAGTGCACACAAGGCTCCACAGATTCAATGCTTGTTCCCAACAAATGCCCCTCCCACCAGCATCTCCTTACATCTCAGTCCCCAGGTATGCCTTGTGAAGGGGGCACGGCACTCTCCTCCCTTGTAGCTGGCTCAGTCTGCTTTGTTCTCGCCTTCTCTCTTCGTGCTCTAGGATCAGGAGGAGGTGCTCCTTGTTTATTGCCTGAACTCTTGTCTCTCATGTTAATTTTGCCCCTCCCTGTCTACAAGCTGTTCTAATCCTGAAATGCCTTGGCCTGACTGGTCCTGCCCTTCCCCATTTTCCTCCGCAACCAATGACGACACCCCCACAATTTCTGTCGGCTCAGGTTCCAGCTCATCTTCCCCCGCAGATTCAGGCTCCAACGGGAGCATGACACTTCAGTTTTGTTTCTCTCAGTCTGTGGATATGATCTGATATCATACAATATGTTCCAATAACACCCATCTATTTATAGATGTTCAGGAAATCGAAGTGTAAAATTTAACATCAGTTATTTGCCTTTTCCTACTTTTTCTAAAGCATCTTGTTCAGTGTACTTGTCGGCATTTTATTTAATACCACAATGCATTGCATTTGACAGAACATAGTATTAGAAAATTCATACAATGAATTAACATAGAATAACATAGAAAATTCATACAATTGTACTTCTTATAAAAAGGAATGCTGTAAAATGAGCCCCTTTCTACAATTATACGTCCCACTATCTCAGGGAATATACTTATACATTTTTATTAATGTCATGGTAGAGGTGTTATGTTCCCTTCTTTAGTAACTTTTTGTCCTAATTTCTTTATTATTTGATTTAATATATTTTATTGACAAAGCCAGTATTAGAGAGTGAATTGAAAATCACTTCAAAATACTTGAGTTAGATGGACTGACCATGTTGTTACCCAGGTGCAATCAGCAACTTCATGCACATTCTTACAATTCATTTTTATTTCTTTTTTCCTAAAATATATAAAAGACAAACACACATTTTAAATATCGATCAACAGCTTCATACAGTAGAAGCATGACTTATGCAACATTTATTCCATTGGTCATTCTTCTTTGCAGTGGAAAAGCAGAGCTTCATTGACATCCATCCTACATTCACCAGATTTTGTTGAGTTTACTGGCAAATTTTGTTAATTTCCCTGCTTAAATAGTTGTTCCACACTATTTAAATCTTGTGATTATTGCTTTGGTTAAAATAGAGCAGCCAACACCATAGCTCTTGTCTTTAAGAGTTCTAATTCTTTTCTACAATTAAACACAAGCATTTGCTAATATAGTCATGATCTAAGCAGTAGTGTTAATAACCCTATTTTAATTATTGCTATGGAAGTGACAACACAAGCAGAATGGGAATACTTCCAGAAAGCTATGGCTGGGTGCAAAACATGCCTAGGCTGCAGGTTGCCTATATTCACTTTAAAATGATAATACCTCATCCTTTAGGAGAAGGGAAGTAAAAATTAATTACCAGTATAATTCAATTCTTAAGGAACTGTAAGATTTTAGTGCCAATGCACCAAATATGGATTTTTAAAAGGTACAGATTTCCGAATAATTTATCATTTTTTTCAGAATTTATTCCCATTAACTGTTATAGTGTAGCATATCACCAGAAAGTAACAAACCAGGGGGAAAAGGCATTATTTTAATTCATGTTTGTAACTTTGTATCAAATCTTCAAAATTGTGGGTTGAATTGTGGAGTCTTTGGTGCTCTCTGAGCTGTTTGAGGACATTTCATTACCCAACTAGATAACATCATTAGTACTAGTCTGTGGATGGAAGGTTTTGCTCCCTATTTATATACTGTAGCTTGCCCTGTATCTCCATTAACACTGGCAGGGCAAGCTACTGCATATAATCAGGGAGCAACCCCCACCTCCAACATTAATGATGTTACCTAGTCGGATAATGAAATATCTGCAAGCATCAAAGCTTAAAGAGCAGCAAGGATCCCATTGTCCTACTTCCTGTGTAAATAATTTTGCATGTGTTGTACCCTTTTTTGTCTATGGCCTCTCAGAAGACAGCCTTGATGATCTACTTGTTCCCAGCTTCAATCACAATGGCTAATCTAAAAAGATGTAACACAGTACAATAAGAAAACTGGCAAGCACAAGTATTACAGGCAAAAGTGTGCCAAAAATGCCATGAAATCAAAGTAACCGCAATGTAGAAAATGTCCTGAACAAATAAAAAACCATTTGCAGAAACCTCCTAAGACAAGAAAGTGATGAAGCCTCATTAACTCAGATAACCTGATGTCAGGCTTTACCAGTTTTGTTTCTGAAATAATATTCAAGTTTAGGACATTTTTTTCACTTCAAATAATGCAGTCCAAATATTATAAATATTGAAAAGATACACAAATGTGAAACATATTAATTTGCATTTGAAAATGTTTCAGTTTCTTTTCCAGAATATTCACATCTCTGAAAAAAAGCTGAATATGTCACTATGGTGGGATTATATTTTTAAAAATCTTAAAAAAGCATTTTAAGGCACCTTGCATTTTTAATATAAATGTCTTAATTAAAAAATCTTAATTTTATACCTTATTGTATCTTTATTAACATCAAGACATATTCATTTCCACATCCTTTTTTTTAACTACGCATAGGGATTTCAGATTATTTCTAACATCAGTTCAGTTCATAAAAGTTTTTAAAATCCAACTAAGTTACAGTTCATCATGTCCCTGTGGCTCCTGGTCTTTCAATTTGAATTCTTCAGAAGTAATCTTGCCATCTCCATTTCGGTCCTGATTGTTGAACATATTTTTCACAATTGTTTCAGAATTGTAACCAGGGGCTAGCTTTCCTTTGCCAGAATTGACTTGGTCGTGGATATATTTATTGAACTAGAATTTAAATGATGAATAAGAATAGGAAATAAAATTAGTTTCAGTATTGTAATTTAAAAGCTGCATATATTAGAATGCATTTCCATACTTCTGCATTTAGTACTAAGACAGTAATAATGCTGGTTTCCATCTGGAATTCACCATGTTGATTTGAAACTAAAATAAGTTAGTAATTATTGAGCCTGCATCCAATCCTCTATTTGATGGGCATGTGCATCATCATAGTGGTCCAACTTGCAAAAGCTTTTGTTCAATGTCTTTTGAGACTTTTTATAGTCCAGTGTCACAATATACAGAATTGATTTTACTCAAGTCTTCTTCATGAATTATTTATGAATCATGCTCATTGTGACTGATTTCTCATCTTTGCAAAGAAGCTTGATCTTTCCAATTGTACTGAATGTTCACAATGACTGTCATTTAGCTGCAAAAGTTACATGCAACTTTCTAATTGGCATATTTGCTTACTTCTAGAAGCAGTTTTGATGGCATTACATTAGCATATTAAACCTTTAAAGGTGACATGAGAAAACTTCCCTCAATCGTAGTCAAGTTCAAGAGGCTCCACTTCCCTTGGCAAGATATGTTAGTTCTTTTTCCCACTTTTGATGTTAACCAGCAGCATTATAAGAGCCACTTATAAAAATAGATGTAAGATAAGGAATAGAGTTCTATCTACTACACGCACACAAATTATCCTGTTTTTTTCCTTGACTTTGGTGAATGAATATAATTACTGTATTTTTCGCACTATAAGACGCTCCGGATCGTAAGATGCACCTAGCTTTTGGGGAGGAAAACAAGGGGAAAAAATCTGCCTCTGCCTCCCAGCAATTTGCCTCCTTGCAGCGAACAGCCTGGTCAGCTTCAGCACAGCCTGATTTAGCACGAGCAGCTGATAGGCAGTTGGATCGGCCTCCCAGAATACTGCAGATTATCTGTTCCAGGTTGCAGGGATCGCTGCCACCTATAGTCGCCTCTACACGCTCCATTTTTGCCTCCGCGCACTCTATTTTTGGCCTCTATGTATCCCATTTTCAGCCTCTGTGCACCCCATTTTCAGCATCCATGCATCCCATTTTCAGCCCGTTCCAGGCGGCGATAGGTGGCAGCGGTGGCAGTGATCCCCGCCACCTGGAACAGGCTGAAAACGGGACACGTGAAGGCCGAAAATGGGGCATGCGGAAGCTGAAAATGGGGAGTGGATGTGGTGATAGGTGGCGACGAGTAGTGAAAGCGGTGATCCCCGCAACCTGGAACAGCTGATTGGCAGTATTCTGGGAGATCGCTGCAACCTCTAATCAGCTGCTCATGCTAAATCAGGCTGTGCTGAAGCTGACCAGGCTGTTTGCTGTTTGCTGCAAGGAGGCAAATTGATGGGAGGCAGAGGCTGAAGGGTGATGGCTGGCAGGTGGGTGGGGCTTCGGCAACATTCACTCTATAAGATGCACAGGTATTTCCACCAACTTTGAGGGGGGGAGAAGTGCATCTTATAGATTGAAAAATACGGTACTCACAATATGGAAGAAGGGCAATAACTACTGATCAGATTTCTCACACCATTGCAAAACTGACACTGAAGCAAATCACTACCCTGTTTGTCTTTTCTTTTACAGCTAGTTCAAAGAATTAATTTTAAAAGTCATGGAAATATTTTCTTTCTAATTGTATGAATCAGAGTTTTCACAAATTGCAACCTTGGAGAGAAAACAACAACCAAAACAATAAATTGGAATGGGAAGTGAAAATAACTGCTTACAAATGAAACCCAGATTTCAGAACTAATACAAAAGTAAGCAAACTCATCCCACCCCTTAACTAATAAGGTTTTTATTTATTTTTTTTACCTTCCAAACAAAATGTTTTAGTATTATATAAAAATGTATGGTTTTGCCATTTTATGCGACTTATCAATTAAAAATTAATTATTAAATTTAATAATTTATTTTTGCCTAGCCATAATACAAGATGAAAAGAGAATCATGTAAATTCATTTATCATAACTAGGAGCATATAATGTAATGTATTATAATTATATATTATACTGTACTAATACTATAAAATAAAATTCATATTGTAGCTTGGGAAGTAAATTAAAGAACCTGTATAAAACATAGTGTACCTAACAATTTATTGCTATCCATCAAAGAAAATCCTTATAAATCAGATTTTGTCCCTCCCAGAATAGCTTCTTACTTCTTCTAGAAAAACTTCTCCATTGTTATCCTTGTCTATTTCTTCAAAGAGGTTTGGTAATACTTCATCATGCCACACAAACATATAGCCTTCTGGTAAGCCAGATACTAAATCAAGCAGCTCGATGTCAAACAGTAATACAGCACTTCCAGGAACTTCTCCTTCTGCAACATTAAATGACCAAAAACCAAATCTTAATATTTGCTTTTGAGAATGTTTTGTTTTGCTCTATATTTTCAGTGGAAGCAGGCAATTTTCCGGCTAAGTAGCCACATGTTACGTTTTTTAAAATTTCCTGCTAAGTAAGGGCATGACAAGTAATTCAATGATGTCACTGGGAAGCAGATCTGAAAATGATCCATTTTGAGGATTTAATAGATAATGATCATGAAAAAATAAGTTTCCCAAAGGCTTCATGAAAGTGAAATGATCAGGGATAATGATATGGGTGATGCTATCCCTAATGTAGAGACTGGGAGCGGGGGACAGAAATTCACCCCTAGCAGAATAAGCAAGTTGTACTATAGATATTATTTCCAGCAAAGAATGACAGAATGCAAAAATTAGATCTATTGAGTCAATAATGGATGTTATCATTTTCTTTCTAGAAGACACTAAATTATATGATTATTTTCAGGCTTAAGTTTTAATGCAAAGTCATTTGTTCAGACAATGCTTATCTCATTGCTTTATGACATGAGACTATATAGCTCAACATTCTAAGATTCATCACATAAAATGCATAAGGCAATTCTACAGGTGGACAATATATTTCTATGCTAATTTTTAATTTAAATTGAAGCTCAAGTCTTATTTAATGAGTGAGCTTCAAAATTATTTGTTACACAGTTCCAAATAATTTTGTTATATCACCCATTCATTTCAATTTATTCCACTGAGAGCAGAAGATAGGAACAAGGAAATGAATCATACTGGAATTGCCTATGGATCTTTAAGTATAATTTAACAAAGTACATACAGAAGCAACTGTGCACCACTGCAGGTGAATTCAGAAAAAAATTGGGTCAACTCACATTAATTTCTTCACTTCACTACTAAACACTTTAGTATTTAAAGAATTTTGAAAGTTATAAACTCACCAACTCCGGCTTCTCCATAACCAAAGTGAGGGGGAATAACAACTGTTCTTTTTTCTCCCACACACATCTCTCTGAGACCTATATCCATTCCCAATACAATTTGTCCAGAACCTAGAACTATATTATATGTTTTTCCAAGGCTAACCCTGAAAAAGAAAAATATAATTCACAAAATTCTAAGAAACTCCACTAGTTTGCTAGCATTTTTTTCTACTCCTCCTATTTACATGGGCCATGGGCCATGCCCCACTACTGGGACGTGTCTTATTCGCAACCGGACTCATGCGAGCAGAACCCCAAAGGTTTCTCTATTGTATGAGTAGAGCTGTGTGTGAACATGTGCCAGCCCACCCTTGTGCAGCCCGGTTCCCCTCTCCTCTGCCAGCTGGGCTCCCAAGCCACCTGCTCCAAGCAGTGCAGTGAGAGCAGAGGCTGAGAGGGATGAGCGTGCCCTACTCAGCTTCATTGACTCACCGAAGCTGCCTGCATAGGATTCCCAATCCGCTTTTGGAGCACTGGGCAGCCTCAATGAGTCTGAAGATCGTGCACCCAAAGGCTTCTCTTCTCCATGCCAAAAGCTTTTGCAAACAGATGAAAGGTTCCCTTTGTAAAAGCTTTTGGCATGGAGAAGCCTGAAGGAGCCAAGACCATGCCCCAAAGGTTTCTCTTCTCTCTTGCATGAGTGGAGTTAAACATGCATACATGCCGGGACACCACACACATGACCTGATTCCTCTCTCTCCCTCTTCAGCCAGGCCACCAAGTTGCAAAGATCAGTGACCTCTCTCTTATAACATTAGGCAACAGAATGTCAACAGTAGAGACTTCAAGTATCTGGATTCTATAGTCTCCCAGGACTTGAAATGCACATCTAACTTTAGAACTGTCATTAAAAAGGCACCATTTCCTGTGCCAACTCAGAAAGCTCAACTACCCAAGGAACTGCTGATTCAGTTCTACAGAGGAATTGCTGAGTCTGACATTTGTACTTGTATAACTGTCTGATTTGGCACAGAAATCAAACAGGACAGTTACAGACTTCAACAGATAATTAGGTCTTGAGAAAAAACTATTGAACCAGCCTACCTTCGACTGAGAATCTGCACAGGTCAGAAGTGCTGAAAAAATATCTACAAACCCCTCACATCCTGGACATAAACTGTTCCAACTCTTCCCTTTAGGATGCTGCTTTAGGCCATTGCATGCCCAAACAACTAGACACAGATAGTTTTTTTCCCCATGCCATCACTCTGCTAAACACATAATTCCCATAGCACTGTTTTATACCTAAGGATATCTGAACACGCAGTATGGCTATATTGCTATTATCTGTCTTATCTTTCTTATTAATTTCTCCTATTGGTATCTTATGATTTATCACTTTGTTGTTTGTATCTTATGATTCATCACTTTGTTGTTTGTATGTACATTGAGATCTTATGCACCGGAGACAAGTTCCTTGTGCATCCAATCACAATTCGCCAATAAAGAATGTTCTGTTCTGTTCTGTATTAGGTGAAGTAGGGAAAGTAGCTGATATGAAACAAAAATATGAAGGCACCATGATACCACTGGCATCATTAGTCATTAAGGCACGAGGCTAGAAAGTTGGAGACCATAAGTTCTAGTCCTGCCTTAGTCATGAAAGCCAGCTGAGCAACCTTGGACCAGTCATTCTTAGCCCAATTCATCCATGATTGTTGTTGTGAAGAAAATAAGAGGAGGGAGGTTGTTGGATATGTTTGTCATGTTGAGTTATTTGTAAAACCAATAAAAGCAGGATATTTATTTGTTTGTTTGTTTAATAAATAAATAAATAAATGAGGGCCTGGAGACAGAAAAAACAACTTTCATTGTTTATTTTCATAATTTATAGACCTTCTGTCTACATGTAAGACATCATATACTTTTTTCAGTTATATTAAAGAATGCAAACAGCTAACAAAAAAAGGGAATCACGTCTTGAACCACATCTATTTTTTTTTAATTTTCATGTTTGCAAAATTATTTATGGCCAGATGATATACTTACGTTGAATCTAATAAAGTGCCATCTAGGAGAGAAGCATTGTAATGATACTTCAAGTAATCACCTTTCTTGCTTAGCACTGAACAGTTAGTAGGTTTGTAATAGGTTGTAACAGCAACTGAATCCGAAGGATTGTGAAAATCTATCACATGAACTTCAAATACCAACACAGCAGATCCTGGAATGTTTCCTACAATAATAAGCAATCACATATAGGCTGTTCATCTTTCTTCTCTTTTACACCTTATAAACAACAAAATCATCTATTGAAAATTGATGCTGTGAAAATAAAGATGTGGTCAAGAGCATCTGCAAAGATTATCCTGGATTATGCTAATGTTTCTCCCATTTTGTCCTTTCCAACAGCATAAAATCTATATACTTTCAGAACTATGGTATTTGGGGAGATTACCACTGTTGCCCATTTTGAAATCATGAATGCACTGGAAAAAAATAAGGAAGCTTAGAAACTTAGGGAAATTGTATTTTTATTGGGTGAATTTGCAACTAAAATTAGTGAAAGTGTTTAGCTTTCATTGAAAGGGCTTTAGGGAAAATCTCTTGGGGCGAGTTTGGGTTGCTTCTGCACTTCCAATAGAAAGTATGGCTTCTCACTCATTACATAAAGCAAGTCACTATGCTTTACCACCAAGTGAATCTCTTTAGTTCTTTAATCCTTTCTTTAATTATGAAGCCACTTTGCATACCAATATTTTTAATACCAATGACTGGATCAGCATTAAGATCCCAATGTGTCTTCTCTCTTCTGTTCTTCCCAATTGAGAAAAACAACATCACATTTTTTGCATGTCTAATATAGGCTCTTTTATATTAATATAATGATTTTATCCATTCATTCCAAAGATGTAAAAAGTTCCTTTTGTGTCTAGCTAATGTTAAGTGACAAATCTTAATAACAGGATTGTTTCCAGATAACTTGGAAGGCATCCATAATCTCCAAAGGTAGAACTATTGTAAGCATCTGCAAAACCTAAAAAGTTTTGCCTAGGGAACTCAGAAACTGTGTTATTTATCACTCTTATGAAAACAAATTATGTTACTAATTCTTTCACTCACATATCTATTTCTGGAGATGTTATAGAAGAAAATATTTTCCAGGTAACTATCATCAAATAAGCCATGATTCGCTTATATGAGCCCTATTCTACCATTTGCATTAGTAGAATTCACTAGAAATTTGGTATAATTCTCACTTGGAGTGCAGGAATCAGATGCACTGACTTTATCCCTCTTGACCGTGGAAAATGCTTTCACTTTAAAGCATCATATTGTCATATCTAGTATTATTCACATGCTTAAATATATATACTATATATACTCAATATATTAAAATAGTAATTGAGCTTCAGGACATTAGTATTTAATAAAGCACCTGAAATAAAACTTATACTCACCTCTTCCCTCTTCTCCATACCCAACATGAGGTGGTATTATTATTCTCCTTTTCTCTCCAACACATGCTCCAAGCAAACCTTCATCTATTCCAGCAATCACATAACCTTTGCCAATGTAGGTGTCATAGGTTCGATTTCGTGAGTAACTACAGAAGATACTTTGCTTTACTGTAGTTACCATCAATTATACCACATTTACAATTTATTGAGTATGATGGCAAATATAGAAAAAATGTAGATGAAATCTATATACAATTTATATTTAATAATAAATATTTATATTAATAGAGAGAAAGATTCATTTCATTTACACAATATCATCATCTCATCTGTTAACCTAGAAAACCTTATTCAACTAATGGAGCATTTGCTTGTAAAATACTTTTATTATCCCGGACATGGCTTAGGTCCGGGGTACTTGCAGGACCATCTCCTGCCTGCTTCCCACCGTCCTGTCCACTCCCATAGGGCTGCTCTCCTCAAGGTACCATCGACTAGGCAATGCCGTCTGGCGACGCCCAGGGGTAGGGCGTTCTCCGTGGGCGTCCCTACCCTCTGGAACGAACTACCCACCAAGCTCCGGACGGCCCCGGATCTCCGTTCTTTCTGTCGAGGCCTGAAGACCTGGCTATTCCAACGAATGGGCTGATTCTGATTCTTGGGTTTTATTATTTTTTATTATTTATTATTATTGATTTTAATCAGGTTTTAGCAGGATTTTATTATGGCATGTTTTTTAATCTGTGTTCGCCGCCCTGAGTCCCTCGAAAGAAGAGTGGCATATAAATACTTGTTAAATAAATAAATAAATTATTAGAATAACCTCAGCCAGGAGCCTATTGAATAGTGATGGATTGTAGCCACAATACTGCAAGCTAAAAAACTCTTGATTTTCAAAGCCTTAAGTGTATGTTATTACCCTTTAGGGTCTTTTTGCCACGGTTGTTAAGCAAATTATTGCAGCTGTTAAGTGAATCATATGATCATTAAGCAAATTCAGCTTCCCCCAATGACTTTGCTTGTGAGAAGCTAGCTGAGGACACAAATCATATGATCCCAGGATGCTGCAATTATTAAAAATACATGCTAGTTGCCAAGTGACCAATTTTGGGGATGCTACGATGGTCATAATTGCGAGGACCAGTTGTAAGTAACTTTTTCTCAGTCCTGCTGTAACTTCAAATAGTCACTAAATGAATAGTTGTAAGTCAAGGACTACCTATTTAAGAATTAAAAGAAAGACTTCCAGGATTTCTGAAAAGTCTACTGTCAAAAGCTAGGAAGCCATTAAAAAAGAATTTCAGTAATTGCTGAATATGAAAGGTAAGCTCTATTTATAGTGAAATCAAGATTCAATTTCTATCTTTTGCCCACACGCAATGGACTAGATGCCCCCCCCCCCTTCTTTTGGGTGGAAAATTTGGTTTCTATCTGACTAGTGCATAGGTCATTGACACCTCTAGTAGCAAGTTGTTTATTTTTGAATATGAAATAACTAATTTTCACAAGTATGTGTTGTTTAATACACCAGTGTATACATATTTAAAGAATGTTTGTAGTGGTATTACATTTTTTTTTTAATTTGATTTATATGCCGCCCTTCTCCGAAGACTCAGGGCGGCTTACAATGTGCTCAGCAATATGTCTTAGGAATGTAAATGTACATGTTTATATGCACATCTGCCATAAGGTTGGCTGGGAATCAGACTGATTTATAAAAGGTTTGGTACAGATTTTTTGAAGGAACAAGGACCAGAGAACTAATGTATGAAAGTTAGTTGTCTTTGATAGGAAAAAAAGAAATTGTAAGAGAAAATAGCTATGTACAAGAGAGTAATTTTGTCAATATGGAAGTGAGAGTATCTGGAGAAGTATAGTAGGAATGTGGGATGCAGTGGCTCAGTGATTAAAGACGCTGAGCTTGTCAGCTGGAAAACTGACAGCCCGGGTTCAAGACCCGTGCCAGGAATAAGGTCTTGTTACTTGTCCAACATGTAAATGTGAGTAGATAAAGAGATGCCACTTTGGTGGGAAGGTGACAGTGTTCCATGCTTCTTGGTGTATAGTCATGTTGGCCACATGACCATAGAAAAATCTTTGGACTGCTGGCTCCCCTTCTCTGTGTGTATGTGTGTGTTTGTGTGTGTGTGATCACAACTGAATATGGATACAAGTTCAAGAATGGAACTACCATTAGCCACTAGCCACAGCCTGACTAGGTGGCTCAGTGGCTAAGACACTGAGCTTGTCGATCAGAAAGGTCGGCAGTTCAGCAGTTCTAATCCCTAGTACAGGTCTCCTGCCTGAGCTGTACTAGATGACCTCCAAGGTCCCTTCCAACTCTGTTACTGTTACTTTCTCTACATGAATAATATCAAAGAATGAACAAGATATCAACTTGCTGATCCAGCTGACATGGACCTAGAGTGAAGATATTGGGATAGAATTCAGGGTAGTTGGGACTGTAGCTGGATGGGAATCAAGAGAGATAGCTAGGGTGGAAAGGAAATACTAGCAGGTCATATAGTAGACATACAAACCAGTTTCAAATACTTTGGTATCCCACAGTCACATGAGGAGGAGGAGGCAAGGAAGACACCAACATGCAAATATTATCAAAGGATCAGACAGGTACTGAAGAGCCAGCTCAATGCGAAGGATAAAATCTATACCATCAACACGTATGCCCTGCCAATCATCAGATAATTTTGAGGTATAATAAATTGGCTGAAGAAGGATAGGGAAGTTGCCAGTGTGGAGACCAAAAATGTTGGTCCAATACCTAGAAACAGTACATCAGATGGAAAGAGGGCAGTCACGGTTTGGTGAGTGTCAAAGCCACTATTATGGAAGAAACCCATAGCATCCAGTAGTATATCAGTAAGATGACATCCAAAGATGAGCTGATGATAGAATGCCTGAGGCAGGGGTGAAATGCTCCCGGTTCGGACCGGCTCGGGTGAGTAGGTAGCGATGGCAGCGGGCAGTTCGGAGAACCGGTAGCAAAAATCCCTCCCCCCCTTCAAGCCTCCAGCTTACTTACCTTCGCTCTTCGGACCGAATCCAGAGCTGCTGGTCGCAACGCCTGCCTTGCTTCGTTTGCTGTAATCCCTGCAATCCATTGCATCAGCAAACAACTGAATCTCCCTGCCTGCAATCAAGCTCATCGGTGAGCAGCTCTATCTGCCTGTCTGCCTGCCTTGCCCCTATTTCAATTGGGTAAGTTTTTTTCCCCTTTGGAAGCTTTAAAAAAATAGTTAATTGGGGTTTTTTTTAGTTGTTCTTTTTTTAGACCTAGCCATTTAAAGTTTAGGAAGTTTTAAATTTAGCTGCTTTTATATAAAAATAAAAATAAAATAAAATAATATTTGTGCAGATTTCTGAGATTTTGTGTGTTTCTGTAGAGTTTCACTCTAACTACACAAATACACAAAATCTCACAAAGCTGTATGTGGAATTTTGTGTGTGTAAAGTGTGAAAGTTGGTTTTTTAGACTTTTTGTGGCTGTATGAGGTTCCCGTTTGTTGCAGGGGCCATTTTGCCCCTACTTTTACATTGTAGGTGAGCCAGTTGTGTTGTATTGTGTTGTGTTGTGCATGTGTAAAGTGTGAAAGTTGGTTTTTGGGCTTTTTGTGGCTGTGTGAGGTTCCTGCTTGTTGCAGGGGCCATTTTGGGTCTAGCACACCTGCTTTTACATTGTGGGTGAGCCAGTTGTGTTGTGTTGTGTTGTGTTGTGTAGGTTGAAAAAGGGCACAGAAGTGACGCCAACTTGGCCACGCCCACCTGACCAACAAGCCACGCCCACCCAGTCACCTGACCACCAATCCCCACCCACTAATTAAGCCACGCCCACAGAACCAGTAGCAAAAAAATTTAATTTCACCCCTGGCCTGAGGTAATTGCAGATGTGGGAAGAAGATCAAGTAAAGGAAGTCCCTGCATGGGATGTATTTTGACAGATAACTGAGATGGAAGACACTGGGAAATCCTGTAAATGGCTGGAAAGGGATGGACTAAAAGATAGCACTGAGGTAGTGATCACAACAGCTCAAGAACAGGCACTAAGCACAGATCCACAGAAGCAGGAATCTATCACATTAGGCAGGACCCAAGGTGCAGACTATATAAATAAGCCTTAGAGATAATTCACATGTAATGAAAAGATGTAAGATGCAGACAGGAACAGCATACACTGAATGAAACAACCAATCCTGCATTGGGTATAGAATATGTACAGAATATTGGCTAAATCCTGTACAGAATATGCGCTAAACTCTCCTAATGGGAGATCCAACAGTAAATTGTAGAAAATAAGAGGTCTAAGATCCTATAGGATTTCCAGAGCCAGCCAGAGAGGCAAGCAATGTCCAATCAACCAAACATTGTGATATTAGACAAAGACAAGAAAACAGTGGTAGTGGCAAATGCTAATAACATCAGGAGGAAGGAGTATGAGAAATTGGAGAAACTGGAAAAGCACCTGAAAGAAGTACCTGAAAGAGCAACTGGAGAGGATGTGGAAAATTAAGGCCAAAGTGGTCCCAGTGATGGTAGGAAAACTTTAGAGCTGTTGTCTCCTAAACTGGATGACTCCAACAGATCCTGGGTACCAAATCAGGGCTCTCTGCCCAAAAGAGAAAAGTTTATATTCTGGTGTCTTGCCTATCTCGGGGGGAGGGGGGGCAGTCTTAGGGATTCTTTGGTTGGGCTGTTTATTGATGGCTCTTTGGGAGTTTCTTCTTTGGGGTATTGCTTACTTGACTGTTGGTCTGAAGTTGACCTTGGGGTTAATCTATGCTGATCTGAGTGCTGATTACTGGTAGAGAGGTGTTGGAGTCTTTTGGGCTGCTTGACTGTCTCTTTTGCATAGTCTATAGATGTTCTTAATGTCTATGTGTCTATTGATGGCTGATTTATCAGAGTGCCAGGGTTCTAGAAATTCCCTGGCATATTTGGATTTGGCCTGGTCTGGGATTGTCACATTTTCCCAATTGAAACTATGGTTAAATCTATCTATATGTGGTGAAATAAAAGAATTTTTGTCATGTCTTCTGACTGCCAGCTGGTGTTTATGGATGCATTCTTACATTGTATTTTCTTACATTTGGTTTTTTTTTTTTATTTCTTACATTTGTCTTATTGACCCAGCAACCTCAGAAGAATAAACAGGAGTCATCTACAACATACAATGTAAGAACTGCAACAACCATTATGTAAGACAAACAGGCAGAAGACTGGCAGAATGCATCCATGAACACCAACTTCCAGTCAGAAGACATTCTGACTGGAACATTCTTTAATTTCACAACATATAGATTTAAACATAGCTTCAATTGAGAAAATGTGACAATCCTTGTCATACCACAGCATATAACTTTTATATACTGTTGGTGCTCTCTAGCCCCATCTACTGGTCGGAGAGACAAATACCAGGTATATTGTTTGAAGCTGACCCCACCCATTTACCCATGCCCACACTCTCAAAACAAGTACACTCTGGGAAACCAGACTCCATTTCCTTTAGCATTTGGAGAAGGCAGAAGCACAAAGTAGACTCCATCTTAATCTGTGGCACATGGTCATCCAAGGACAAAGCCATCCCACACACAAAGCATTGCTGGTGAGATTTAAATTGCTTGTATTATTTAATTGTTACGTTCAGCAGTAACTCAATATTATCTATCTTGTATTTGGTTCTCATTGTATGTATCCCTATTTTTCCCTGTTTCACCATATCCTGTTCTTTCAATAAAGCATTCAGATCTACGCACACTGTCTGTTTTATTGGATGAAAGGTGGTTTTAGCTGCATGTCGAGCTGCACACAGACTAACGTGTAGTGAGGACAGAACAATCATAGAGCAGGCCAAATCCAAAAATGCCAGGGAATTTCTAAGAACCCTGGCACTCTGACAAATCAGCAATCTACACATTAACAACATCTATAGACTATGCAAAAGAGACAATCAACCAGCCCTAAAGAGAAAAAGACTCCAGCTCCTCTCCACCAGTAATCAGCACTCAGGTCACCATAAATTAACCCCAGGGTCAACTTCAGACCAACAGTCAAGTAAGCAATACCTCAAAGAAGAAACTGCCAAAGAGCCATCAGTATACATCCCAACAAAAAAATTTCTGACCACCCCCAGCCACATAGACAAGCAAGTTACCAGAATATAAACTAACAGCAAACAGCACTCCTTATTAGCACTGATGATGTTAAGGTAATGAAACATCTGCAAGAAAACAAGCAAGCTCTGAGAGTAGCAAGGATCCCACATTTTAACCCTGAGCTACAAATATTCTCCTTTATTAGATGATAGAGACAGACACTGTGTTTTCCCGAAAATAAGACCCAGTCTTATAGTTTTTTGCCTTCAAGAGGCACCAGGTCTTATTTTCAGGGGATCTCTTCCATTGTCTCACCTCACACCAGGAGCTGGTGGTCCGACAGCCCACTTCTACAGCTGCTTGCTGCAGCTTGCGCGTTGCCCCCAGCTTCCATTTCATTGACAGATGCCTTCAGGCAAGGCCCAAGAAATGGGCACTGGATTTATACATGCAGTGCTCCCGGCCTCATTTCACTGTCAGAGTAATTCCGGAAAGGCCTCTGTAGCCAAGAAACGTGCATGTCAATCTGGACCTCTTTTATCGGCTGCAGAGGCTTTTCCTGAAGGCCTCTGACAACGAAACAGAGGCCAGAGGCAACGTGCACAAGCAGTGGCAAGCAGCTGCAGAAGAAGTGGGCCAGTAAGGCGAGGCAGGTGTCAGGGTATGCGAGGCCTGGCTGCAACTGTCGAAGGTAAGGAGCTCCACCCCCCCGCATCCCCGCCCTAGCTTGATTTTTACCCATGCACCTCGGCCCACCCCTTGCAACCAGGAGCAATGGAGTGGGTGGGGTCTTAACTAGGGCTCATTTTGGGGGCAAGGCTTATTTTCGGGAAAACACAGTAGGAGGTAGGTAGACAGACAGACACAAACAAACAGAAAGACAGATGTTTATTTAATTTAACATACTTTAATATAAGGTAAAGGTAAAGGTTCCCCTCGCACATATGTGCTAGTCATTCCTGACTCTAGGGGGCAGTGCTTATCTCCATTTCAAAGCCAAAGAGCCAGCGCTGTCCAAAGATGTCTCCATGGTCATGTGGTCGGCATGACTAAATGCCAAAGGCGCACAGAACGCTGTTACCTTCCCACCAAAGGTGGTCCCTATTTTTCTACTTGCATTTTTTACGTGCTTTCAAACTGCTAGGTTGGCAGAAGCTGGGACAAGTAATGGAAGCTCACCCCTTTACACAGCACTAGGGATTTGAACCACTGAACTGCTAACCTTTTGATCGACAAGCTCAGTGTCTTAGTCACTGAGCCATCACGTCCCTATTACTTTAATATAATTAAATCTAAATTCCTTTTTTATTCTTGCTCCATATATATTTTGATAGGCTTTAGGTGGTGAAGTGGTTAGAATGCAGTACTGCAGGCTACTTCTGCTGATCACCAGCTGCCAGCAGTTTGGCAGTTCGGGTCTCACTGCCTCAAGGTTGACTCAGCCTTCCATCCTGTTAAGGTTGGTAAAATAAGGACCCAGATCGTTGGGGGCAATATGCTGACTCTGTAAACTGCTAAGAAAGAGGTGTAAAGCACTGTAAAGTGGTATATAAGTCTAAGTCCTATTGCTATTGCTTTACTTACTTGCATTGGAATGAACATAACTCAGAAGACAAGTATGCCCTTTGGATTGAGAAAATGAGTGTCCTGACATTTATTTTACACTAACTGAAAACCCATGCTCCACTACAAAACTATGTGATCGGGCTTGATAAATAGACACTTAAGAGTTTGAAAATTAATCAGTGGTTACAATCGGCCTCTCCTCTCCCCTTCTCTCTCTCAGGCTAGCCCCACAGAAGCCTCTCCTCTCCCCTTCTCTCCCTCAGGCTTGCCCCATAGATCCTTTCCTCTTCCCTTCTCTCCCCCAGGCTAGCCCCACAGAAGCCTCTCCTCTCTATCTCTTTCTCTCCCTCAGGCTTGGCCCCATAGATCCTCTCCTATCCCCTTCTCTCCCTCAGGCTGGCCCCATAGATCCTCTCCTATCCCCATCTCTCCCTCAGGCTGGCCCCATAGAGCCTCTCCTCTCCCCTTCTCTCCCTCAGGCTTGGCCCCATAGATCCTTTCCTAATCCCCTTCTCTCCCTCAGGTTTGCCCCATAGAATCTTCTTCCCTTCTCTCCCTCAGGCTGGCTCCACAGAAGCCTCTCCTCTCTCCTTCTATCCCCCTATTCTATTGCCCCACAGAAACCTATCCTATTCAAGTTTGTAGGCTTTACGGTTCTGAAGATTTCATGATTAATGTGTGAGTGGTTTTTGCTTTTATATATTTTACATTACATTTCTCAACAGTATTTTTCTCACTCATTAATTCAATAAATAGAAAATGCAAAATTTTATACACTAAAATTAATCTAATAATTACTGAACCATTTACTTATAAAATTGCATGAACTTCAAATGCATATGTTCCTAAATTTGTATATTTAACGTTTTATAGGCTCAGCTTATGGCTTTGTTAAAGGAAGAAAATTAAGGGGAAAAAGTTGGTCCCATCAAAAGTATCTGGGTGAAATTCTTAATTTATTTTATTAGTATATTGTTTATTCCATCTCTATGATTGCAAAAATTGACACCAACTTGATGCACATAATCAATCTTATTTATTAATTACTAATATATTTATACCCTATATTACATTTATACCTACATTTATACCCGCGCTCTACATCGGCTACCCTTGAAAAGTGTTTGGAGACTACAGTTGGTCCAGAATGCAGCCGCGCGAGCTATTGTGGGTGCACCTAGATACACCCACATTACACCAATTCTCCGCGAGCTGCACTGGCTCCCTATCGGTCTCCGGACACAATTCAAGGTGTTGGTTATTACCTTTAAAGCCCTACATGGCTTAGGGCCAGGCTATCTTCGAGACCACCTTCTACCGCATAGCTCCCAACGACCGGTAAGATCCCACAGAGTTAGTCTCCTCTGGGTCCCGTCAGCTAAACAATGTCGGCTGGCGGGCCCGTGGGGGAGGGCCTTCTCTGTGGCTGCCCCGGCTCTCTGGAACCAATTACCTCCTGAGGTCCGGATCGCCCCCACCCTATTGGCCTTCCAGAAAGCAGTGAAGACCTGGCTTTTCCGGCAGGCTTGGGGCCGTTGATCTCGCTGCTGCAATCTTGCGAGATCCGACCATGAATGGAGTGTATGGGTTTTTAATGTTTTTTTAAAACAACTTTTATGGTATATTGTTCGCATTATTTTTTTTGTTGTAAGCCACCCAGAGTCGCCAGGGAGTTGGGTGGCATAGAAATGCGACAAATAAAAATAAATAAATAAAATAAATAAATACCCAGAAATTTAAAAAGCTTTCTAACAAAAAGACTACTGGAAAAAGCAGCCAAGGACTGCTAAGAATATATACAGAATAGATTTTATGTTTAATTATATGATTACCTGGAATCAAACACTGTTCCATCAAGAAGGGTACCATTATAGTGATATCTGAGGAAGTCTCCAATTTGGGTTTGACGTTCACAGGACTTTGGCACATACAGTTTTTCTATATTAACCCTGTCTTTAGGATTGTGTAGATCTAGAAGAGCTACATCAAAGACAAGGGAAGCTTGACCAGGTATTTCTTTCCCTGTAAACAAAGTATACAGAAAATAAAAAAGCACTGAATTTTTGCAAACATTTGATGTACCTTCTTTTGGTATCAGTTTGAGGCTATCTGCATAATGTTCACTACTGGAAGGAATAAAGCTGGCATATATCCAGTTTTGATCTCCGTTTGTTGTGGAACTTTTAGAACTTATTTTGCTGTTTTTAATGATTCAAATATTCTTGAATAGATAAAGGCCTTGCTACCCTACATGAAACCTCCGAATGAAATTGTTTAGCTCATCTCTATTGCAATGTTCCTTCATAAAGACAAGATATATATCCAAGTTGAAAGGGATATCATATTATTTAAACAATATTTATTTATGTTTATTATTTAAATTTAATAATATAATTAGGCTTCCACGTTTTCTTGTTTCTGTGGTATCAATTTTATTTTAAATTAAAAATCTGGTTTGTTGGAACATATTCAATTCAAATGCAAATAAATCTGATTTGTGATAAAATAATGGGGAAGTATTTTTTCCCCTTTCTTGGTGATGCGTCTTTATTATATTCCCTCCCCTTCCTCCCTAACAAGGAAAAACAGTTATCCTTTAAAAATGTATTTGTAGTAAACAAGTTAAAAATAAGAATATTGAAATATTGAATTTAATTTATTGAATTTAATGAATTACGTAAACATCATGTGCAATATTACAAAATGAATTATGTAAAAATAGTACAAATCATATAATAAAAGAAGAGGAGGAGGAGGAAGAAAAAATGAAATTTTAGATGCTCCACTACTGAGTTAGATATTCTTTCAATGGGGTTTGTCTATTTTAATTTTAATAATATTTAATTTTTAGTACTGATTTTTATAAATGTATATGATTGGTTTTGCTTGCGCATTGTTTTTTATGGAGTATTGTATGCCACCCTGAGAATCTTTGGTCAGATAGGCAGCCATATAAATTTAACTAATAAAATTAGCCACCCAGAGTAATCCTTGGTCAGATGGGTAGCCATATAAATTAATTAATAAAGTTAACAACACATAAATTTTATGTTGTTCAATCCTGTTATATTAGAGCACATGTCACACAAGGCCCATGGACCGGATCTGGCCCATGATAGACACAGATTTGGCCTGCAGGGCCACCCCGGAGATGGTGAGGGACTAGCCCCTGCTGCCCCGACCATGGTTCACCCCAGCTGGACGCCCCCCCAGCACATGCACAGGAGACAGTGAGCATGTAGGGCTGGCAGTGTCCAGCAGCAGCAGCTGCCCACCGGCCCTTGTCAGCCTACATAGCTCAGGTGGGGGACAGAGCACTACAACTGCTGGGCCAGCCCTCCAAGCAGCAGGTGGAGGCAGAGGCATGGTGGGGAAGACACATGATCCGGCCTTCCAGACACACTGGACGGCTGCCTGCCCATCTGCTCTGTCCCACCATATGTCTTCGCTTGCCTATAGCTGCGGCAGCTGGGATGGGGCAGGTGTCCGGCAGGCTAGATTGTGTGGTTCTCACCCGCCATGCCTCTATCTCTGCCTGCTGCCAGTGCCACTGCTGTGGGGTAAGGCAGGTAGCAGGGTGGGCCATGATTCCTGCATACTTGGCTCTCGCCAGCCAGCCTCATCTACCTCTGCCACACATACGGTATGAGCCTTCCACCCGCCGCCCCACCCATGACAGCCCCAGAGAACAGAAAGGGTGGGGAGCCCCAATCCCCAAGAGACAGCCGAGACTCCACAGTCCACGCAGCGCAGGTGGGTCTGAGCACTGGGACCGCTGGGCTGATCTCCAACAGCAGGCAGAGACAGGGGCTTGGTAGGGGAGGAACGTGATCCGGGCAAACAAAGACAGATGTTTGGGTCATGGTGAGGCAGCCCAGCCAGTCCCCATCACCTCCATGCTGCAGCCCCTGTGCAATCAGAAAGGTCAGCAGTTCGGCAGTTTGAATCCCTAGTTGTTCTGCCCCAGCTACGGATCCCAAAGAACACAGCACACACTAACTCTGAACAAAACTCAGTTTACTCAAAAACACAGTTTTAGCAAATGCCGGCTGTTAATAAAGCGTTCTTAACAGCCTGCCAGAATTCCACAGATAAGATATTCAGAGTCTTACTGGAGTTGGCAGAAAGCCCAGAAATAAGATTCCCAACGCGATGGTTAGCGAACTAAAGTTGTTTCCTGCAGCTTGTTACCAGCTGTGTACTTTCTTAAATAGGTTAAGGGAGTGGCCAATTAGCCCCAAGCCTTACTCTCGAGATCTCCTCCTGAGGAACCACTCCTACCTTTTAGCAGCTCTGCATGCCTGTGCATTGAGAAGAGGCTCCTCCTCTTCATCCTTTTCACTTAAAGGAGCCTCTGGACGTTCGGAAGGCCCTGACTGAATCCCTGCCTCTGGCACCACCTCTTCTTCAGCCTTCTCGCTGTCCAACTCGAGCGCTGGCTCCACAGGCTGCTGGCGCAGCACCACACCAGCCTCCTCGTCGGGATCAGCAACAATCCGTGCAGGCCGCTGGCGGGCCACAACACTAGTACAGATCTCCTGCATGAGCAGGGGGTTGGATTAGATGACCTCCAAGGTCCCTTCCAGCTCTGTTACTGTTACTCAGCCCCCACCATTCAACCTCATTCTCCAGCAAGCTTGTCACTTGCCCACCCATCCCCAATGGCCTTGGTGAACGGGAAGGGCAGGGAGTAGGCTTGCTGGAGGACTAGGTTGACAGCAGGGGCTGAGCGCACAGGGGCCACAGCATGGTGGTGACAGCGACCAGCTGGGCTGCCTCACCATGACCCCACCATCTGTTTTTGCTCCTCTGGTGGATCAAGCAGCAACACCAGCCCTGATTCCGTCCCCCTCTGCCAGTGACACTTGGATCCCCCACAGGCAACCCCCAATGTGAGTGACATTGAACTGGCCCCCCCACCCTGGCCACGCCCACCCAGTCGACTGTGATCTCCGGACCACGCGCACCTGAGGGCAACCGCAATGCTGATGCGGCCCTCAATAAAATTGAGTTTGACACCCCTGCTTTAGAATGTCAATTAGGAATGAGTAAACTTTCAGATTAGTCAAAATACAGTAAAAATCCTGTTGATTTCTCTGCAAAAAAGTAAAATAATTTACCATCTCCATCTTCTCCATATGCCAAGAAAGGTGGTACTGTGATTATGCGCTTTTCTCCTACACACATTCCAAGAAGACCTTTGTCCATTCCAGGGATTAACCATCCAATTCCTACATAAGTGTCATACGTTCGCATTCTATTGTGACTGAAGATATAAATAAATACCAATGAATTCCAGATCTCTTCATTTTAGTGCAGAGATTAATAAAACAAGAGGATTAAATGTAACAAGAGAATGTGTATTTGACTTGTTCTCAACACACACACATGCGCACACACAAACGTTTTATGTTCACTACAGCTACCCATAGTATAATTCAAAAGACTATACAGTCATTAAAGGTCATGTGTCATGGATGGCATAAAAGTCAAAAGGTTCAATGAAAAAGAGTCTTACAGATGGCAGAAAAGTTAATACTTTTAATTATGCACTGAATAAATAATATAAATATGTCATGCTTTAGATCTGAAGGTAGAAAGATGCACCAGACTATGTGGAGGTACCAAAGTAACACTGTCTCCAACTGCTTAAAGTCGCTATACCTTTGTCCAGATTCATGTATCAGCCCTCCATAGTTGCAGTGTGAAATCTAGAAATACACATTTGGTTTCAGGAGTTGCAAACAAGTGTTAGGTATATGTACCTTTCTGCCATCAAATAAAAAGCACTGAATTTCATAAATTCTTCCGTTTATCAGTCCTTTATATTATTTAGTTATTGTTAGTACTGGTAGTAGACAAACAATGGAAAAAGGAGACAAAAGGGGCCTCAGAGGGAATAAACAAGAAATTTACAAGCATCACCAAACTAAATAAGATTGAACTTGATAATTAGGGTTTCAATATTTCAACATTTTAAATGACTAATATTATTTTAAATCCGTTTTAAAATTTAAGCAATGCATAAATATTAACAGCAAGAATCAGCATGGTATAAGTCAATATAATAAGATGTATAATTTATTTCTATTCAAGCAGTGCAAATGTTATTTAACAGATCACTGAAAATTAAAACATTAAGACTTTATTCTAGTAGAAATGTACAAAATCAAATGTTTCCAAGTTGGATTTAAAATTTAATTTGACTGGATAACATTCAAGTCAACCAGTGAAAGGCTATAAGGAAGAAGAAAAGATAATACTGTATTTTTGCTCCTTTAGGATCTGTGTTGCAGTCATATATTTTTATATCCCCCCAATACATGAAAAAGGCAAAATATTTTATTGATACCTTGAGTCAAATAGTGTTCCATCTAAAAATGTTCCATTATAATGGTATCTTACAAAATCAGACACCTGAATTGTCCTTGTACAATTTTCTGGCTTGTAATAAGTCTGAATTTCAACTTGGTCTTCAGAATTCCAAACATCAACCAGAAGAACATCAAAATTCAGAACTGAATTTGCAGGAATTACACTGACTGGGGATGCAAAAGATATTAAAACAGAATTGAATCAAATTATTCACCAGCTACCAGTATTTTTTTAAAAAAGCCATTTTTCTGATTATTGTATCCAACATTCTGTACCATCAATACAAAGAAATACAGAGAATGCTAAGTCTTTTTTTAGATTTATGTACAATAGAACAAATATATTGTGTTTCCCTGAAAATAAAACTTATATTTTTGGGGCCACCAAAAAAGGCACCAGGTCTTATTTTTGAGGAGGTCTTAATTTTCCCCCCCATGTACCGGGAGGCGGGGGCGAGCTGCCCCTCGCATCTCCTTGCCTAACAGTCTTACCAATAGCTTGGTCCATAGAACAGCTGCGGGTACGCTCCTGCACCTCCTCTAAGAAGCACAGCCTCTATCGGCTACAAAAGCAGGAGGCTCCATGTGCCTTGCACCCCCTTCAAGAACAAGCCAAAGGCTTCAGATGGAGCCTTTTTGGGATGTGCGTTTGTGCTGGACTCAAGGAAGGACAATCAGGAGGAAAATCAGGGGAAGATTTTCCTGCTGATCGCCCTTTCCTTGAACCCAGCACAAACGCACATCCCAAAAAGTCTCCATCTGAAGCCTTCAGCATTGCAATCCTGCGAAGGGAAGGTGGAGATTTGCTCCAAAACTGTGGTAGAGCGTTGCAGTGGGAGGCCAGCAACAACAGGTGCAGCAGGCCCAGCAGCCGGGTAGAGGTGGAGGGAGCTGATTCCGATGCACTGCATGGCTTTCTGCCTCATTGTAGCATCAGTCTGAGCAAGACCTGGGTTCCAGGCCTGGTGGAGCGGAAACTGTGGTCGCCACCTACTCTAGAGCCACAAGGCGAGCTGTGGAAGAGAGGAACCCTCGGCTGCGAGGTTTCTTGGCACCATGAGCAGGGCTGTGGCTGGCAAGAGTGCAGCGGAATCATCTCCAGGTGCCTAGAGAGACAGAACGAGGCAGCTCCCACCCTCACTGGCTCACTGACCTGCAGGCCATGATTAAGGAGCTGAGTGGCCATGAGGTGACCAGGGAAGGGAAGGGCTGTCTCCTGTGTTGGCCATGCTAACCCCTTCACTAGGGCTTGTTTTTGAGGTAGGGCTTATATTAGGCCCACCCCAAAAAATCAGGCTATGGGCTTATTTTCTGGATAAATCATATTTTGGGGAAAACACGGTATTAGTTATTATATTTCAGATGAAAGATAAATCATAATACAATTTCATTTCTGAAAAATTACAGTAATTTTTCATGAATATACTATTTTTAATTACCTAATGCCCATTCCTTAGGCTAATACAATGAATTTGGACCGTGTTTTTTCAAGAGATCAATTTTAAGTATAGCTAAATTAACACAATAACAGAATCTATACAACTTACATATTTACACGAAGGCATTGTTTCTTAAAATGTGGTCCTAGAACCCCCAGGGGTTCCTCAAGGTTTCCATAATCAAAATATTTGTCAGCATATGTTAAAGATAATACAATATTACAATTCCCATCAAGCGATCATAAGAACCAATAGCAAAAGTGAATATATCAATTTTAAGTTTTAGTATGGCAAATATGAATAAATGTAATGCATATAAATAAAATCTCTTTAGGGGTTTACCATAAATTTTTAAAGTGAGAAACATTGAGTTGTGTGTCTTGCTGCAATGATGGGGTGCAGGCTGGGGGCTTGGTGGCCAGGGAAGACAGGGTTTTGGGGTCCAAAGGAGGAAGGGGTGATCTCCCCTTCCCTCCTCCATCCCACTGCAGGGCCGCTACAGAGCTTACACAGGGTAGCGTGACCACTCGCAAAGAGGGCCTTACAGGCCGGCGGTGGGGGAGGGGTTCTAGAGATCTGGGCCTAGTTGCCCCATGCCAGGCAGGAGGAGCCCAGCAGGGCTGCTGAGAGCAGTGCAGCCAGGAGAGCGATGAGGCGCTGTGAGGCCAGAAGCAGCAGTGCAGCAGGCCCAGCAGCTGGGCAGAGGTAGGGGGAGCTGATTCCAATCCACTGCATGGCTTTCTGCCTCATTGCAGCAGCAGCTTTAGCAAGACCCAAGCTTCAGGCCTGGCAGAACACAAACCATGGGCACATTTTCGGGGAAACACGGTATATGTTTGATTTAGATACTTAAAACATATATCAACTTTATTCTCAAGAGCTTAAAACGTAATTAAAATCATAGCATCTGCTATTAAAAATGACCACATACAAAATAACACCAATGTCTCATTCATGAAAGCAATAAAAAAAAAAACATTTACAAGACAGGGATGTCCCCTTTCCCCATTGCTGTTTGTATTAACTTTAGAGCCCCTGCTTAGAGAAGTGAGAGGAAACACGGAAATAAGAGGAATGAAGATTAGGCAGGAGGAAGTTAAAGTTCAGGTTTGGGCAGACAATCTTGTATTTATCTTGGATCAACCACTGGACTCGGGCCTGAAATTATTACCCTTGATTAGAGAGTATGGGAAGGTAGCGGGATTACTGATGAATGAAGAAAAAACTAAAATCCTAGCGAAAAATATGACTCAGATGCAAAGGTAACAGCTGGAGCAGTTAATGGGTTTAAGAATAACAAATAAAATTAATTATCTGGGTATATGGTTGACTGCCAGATGCTCCTCCATAAAGGAGGATAACTATCTTCCTCTTTACAACCAGATGCTCAGAGATCTAGAAAGATGGAAAAATCTCCAGCTATCAATTTTGGGGAGGGTGGCAACCATTAAGAGGTGCGTGTTACCCAAATGGTTATTTCTATTCCAAACAGCCCCGGTAAGATTGAATAAAGAGTTTTTTACAAATTTGGATAGGAGTATATCTAAATTTATCTGGCAGGGAAAGAGGCCGCAGATTAGACTTAAAATGTTACAAGAACCCAAAAATAGAGGAGGATTTGGACTCCCAAATTGGGAGCTCTATCACCAAGCAGCGAACTTGATTTGGGTGAAAGAATGGATGATCCTACAAAAGAGACAACTTTTGACATTTGAAGGAGCTGGTCTTCAACATGGCTGGCACTATTTTCTATAGCCGGGAGCATCCGGCCGCCCTAGACACTTTGATGATCACTATTTACGTAGGACACTTGGGTACACTTGGGAAAAGTTAGAAGAAGAGTATATTCAAAAGTTCCATGTTGGATTTCGGCGCAGGAAGCTCAGATCTACCCGACATTGTATAAAGGGGAGAAAACCTTGACATATGAAGTTTTTTGGGATGTTCAGGGTAATCCGAAGTCACGAGAATTATTAACTCTTCAAGGTTATAAGATAGACTGGTGGTCTTATTCTCAAGTGCACTCCAGGTATAAAAAAGATTTATATAGGAAGGAATCTACTGTAAAAGACAAGAATTGTATTAATCATGGTGCAATCTTTTTTTTTTTTGCATTAAAGAATAGTAGAACATTAAGAAATATTGTGCACTATTTGCACAAATATAGCGAAATTATTCCCTTTTTTTCCTAAAGAAATTATCAAGATAATACCAAGTCCTTTCAATGATCTTAGAAAGGAAGTGAAGGAGAGAAAGTCTTGAACAATGAGAACTTAAATATCATCTTTCATAAAATTAAACCAGTAAGGCATCATAGCACCATCAACATTAATAAGACTCTATAGGCCAGTGATGGCTAACTTTTATGCCATCGCGTGCCAGGATGGGGGGCGGGGGGGAGGGAGGGAAGGTTCGCGCGCACGTGTGCCTACACCCATAATTCTAGGCAACCTGCCCTGCGCATGCGCGCGCAAGCCCCCTCCCCTCCCCCGCTCCTGGCACATGATGGCCAGGTAGGCCCGTTTTTCTTTCTCACCTGGCTCCAGATCCCCTCTATGCATCTGGAGAGGGCGAAAACAGCCTTCCCCACTCCCTCGGAGGCCTGAAACAGCCCATTTCCCAACTATCAGTGGGACAGGAAGTGACTTTTTTGCTGTCCCCAGCTTCCAGAGCCTCTCTAGGAGTCTCTGGAGGCTAGGGAAAGCAAAAAATGTCACTTCCTGTCCCACCAATAGGCTGTTTTCGCCCTCCCCAGATGCATAGAGAGGATCTGGAGTCAGGTGAGAAAGAAAAACGGGTCTTCCCCACCCCACACCCCAGGCCCTCTGGAGGCAGGAAACAGCCCGTTTCCCTACTTCTGGTGGGCCCAGAAAGCCTGGAAATCAGCTGGCCGGTGCGCACATGCGCGCCAGAGGTGAGGTGTCGTGCCCACTGATATGCTACGTGTGCCACCTGTGGCACGCGTGCCATAGGTTCACCATCACGGCTCTAGGCTATTTAAATATTATATGTATGTTTTTTAAAATAAGACAAGAAGGAACTGGATAAAATCATTGGCTCAATCTTTTAGTACCTTATAAATTATGAATACTCAGTTTGGGAATTGAATATGCTATCATATTCAAAGCTATAGATAATACAAGATGAACTGGTCAACAATAGATCCATAACATAGATTAAATTAATTTTTAAAGCCTCACATTTTAACTACAGTTTAATAACCTGCCCTGACTCATTATATTTAGGCATCAAAAAGTATAGAAAACTGTACTTACAAACTCCGTCATTTCCATATCCAAGATGGGATGGAATCCTTACAAATCGCCTTTCATTTACACACATGCCAAGCAGAGCCTTCTCCATCCCAGCAATAAGCTGATTTTTCCCCACAAAAACATTGAATGTAGAGCCCCTGTCATAGCTAGAAGAGAATGAATTTCTAGGTCAGTTAAATAAACATTCAAATATTACATTTCATTGACATAGCTTAATTTTTTATTTCCTTTCAGCCAATTTACAATTTAAGAATAGGTGTGACATGATACTTTGTATACACTTCTCCTGATATTTGCTTTTAATTTTTTTAATATAAACTGAAAGGCTTTATAAGATGATACACTACAAAGCATAGTATTATCTCCAGCATTAATTTTTACGTCCAAGAGCATCACTGGGTTCCATCTAAATTCTACACAGATTCTTTGTTTCCTCTGTGGTTTTTGCTTTCTGACTGTAAAATAATGAAGACCTTATTAAACATTCCTTACATATTCCAATGAATAATAATCTCATAATACGATGCTTACAACATCCAATAAACATTGTGGCTCATATACAATCCATGAAATTAGATCCATTCCAAAAAGAAGTTTAGATCACATGCTCACACCTAAAATGCAACTGAAACAAGTGGTTCCCAAAAATTCCATCCTTTTCCCTGGAGGAAACAGCTGCAGCATGATATCTATAGAAATTGTCAGTCATCCTGGTTAATAAACATCTAGGTTGTCCCAAAAGGTGCTTTTTTCAAACTTCTTTGATTTTTCTTAAAGACATTTTATTTCTCATTCAAGAAGTTCTTCAGTTCAAGTACCTGGTGAGAAATGGAAGGATTTGTTCTGAGGGCACAGATTAACTGCCAGATGGTTCACCTACCCTCAGAGTCCCACAGAGTGTTAACAATTGGCTGATTGCAAAGAGCATAAATCCTTCTTTTCCCCACCAGTTAGTCTGAATTGAAGAAACTTCTTGGATGAGAGGTGAAACATCTTCAAGAAAAATCAAGAAAATCCAGTTGCCATTTGAAAAAAGCATATTTTGAGACAAGCAGATGCAGCCACTGCCAGCTTTAGCACTTGCCAACTACAATCTGCAGCACTTTCCCTGAATGATAATCTTGAAAATGGCTTCTCCACTTCTACCAGCTTTCCAGATCAGATTAATATTTCTGTACATTACGATGTGGTGTGTATGCATTCCCTCCAAGTGTGGCTCCTGGTTTTTTTTTTCTGATTGTTCTGAAGGAGTGAACCTACAATGTTGCCCAACTCCAAATCCTGGTCACTATTCTGTAGTCTCAGGAGCCATCTCTGCTTTTAATAAAAAGTTTAGCCAAATTTCTTTGTATTTCCCCTAATTATTTCGATGTTCTCAATTCAGCTTTGGACATCCGCATATCAATTTCCTTTCGGCTGATTAATGACAACCATAAAGTTTTTCCTACTCTGACTCCAATGATTTTCCCACGTCTGATAAAGTGATGGTCTTTCCAATACCAGCTTCTGTATGGCATCCCAAACACCAGAAATAGAGATTCTGCATAGAAAGAATAGGCTCTTCCCCGAGACTGATACTTGAGTTGATCTTCCTGCAACCGGGCCCATTAACTGGAGTTTCCTCTGGAGTCAAGTCACCCAAGTTTATGTCGCGGATCTGCCCCCATTTGCGCTATACCTGGCCTCCTCCTCCCCGCCCGCAGCGCCACGCCGGCGAACGAAAGAGCGGGGCTACCTGGAATCGAATTTCTTGCCGTCCGACAAAGTACCATGGTAATGGTAACGTACGAAGTCGCCGGAAATAACGGTGCGCAGGCATTTGTCCGGCACGTACTTGCGCTCGATCCACACGTTTTTTCCATCCCAGTGGGTCTCCCCAGCCGGCACCGGCGGAGCCTGGCATGCTACGCAACTAACTAGCAAGGCAAGGAGTAGGGGCGAGCAGCAGTGGTGTCGCTGCCTCCGGGTCGGCAGCATTCTCGGCGTATCTATTGCGAGGAGCGAGCCCAACGAGGAGAACATTCAAGAGCAAGTTCGGCTGAAATCCCGGCTTCCCCAAACTGCAAACGTGGAGAGTGGGATGGTGAGGGCGCTGGTGAAGAGGAAGAATTCCCAGCCCCTTCTCTACTTAGCAATGGGCGGAGCCAGGCCGCGGAAGAGGGGCGCAAGTTTCCTTGGGTGAGAAAAACAAGGCCTGACCACCAGCCAGTATCGCCTTTCTCTAAAAACATTGTTTGGAGCGTGACTTTAAGATATTTGGTGTAAGTCCACGCCAAGATGACTTGGAAAACGAAGCTGCCTTCAGCGAAAATTCAAACCTGAAGGACGGGAGATCGACCCACCGATAGGCTGCTTTCTCCCTATTCCCATTCCTCGCGTCGCTACGTGGCACCACCTCATTCCGAGGCCCTAGTGGCTAGAAAGGCTCGCGTGTTGACAGCGGGTGGGGCACGTTCCCTCGTTGGATTGCGCATCCCACTGTAAGAGGAGCCGCAGCGAACTGGTCTCCCTTAAAAAAAAGAAGAAAAGCCCCCATTGTTTTTTTTTGTCTTGGAATATTCCACTTACTGCCTCGTTTTTTTGGTTTTCTGAACCACCAAGACCAGTGCATAAGATTCCGTTCAGTTTGTGATCTGGAGTAAACAGAATTACTTATCTCAGGAACGAAATCTAGCTTGGCCTAATAATTATACTCTTCTTTATTCTGATTTTATTCTTTCTTCAATAAGCAGTTTTTAAAAATTATCTGCTAGATTGATTTATATTTCTTTGCATTTTGGAGGACTTGTTTTCATCCACTTGTCTAAACTACCATACTAAGGGATGTCTCAAGGGTACTTTTTTCTTCAAAAGGCAACTGGACTGTTTTTTTCCTTGAAGAAGAAAATGTTTTGCTCTTTGAAGAAAAAAGCCCCTTTGAGACAACTATGATCTGGATGACTGAGAAGCTCCACAGATATTAAAAGATATTTTTGAGCTAGAGAAGGAAATGTCCAGTAGGCTAATCACTGGCCAGAGAGATTAGCTGGTTATCTCCTGTCTCATTTTTTTAAAAAAACCTTTCCAGTAAGTTATTTAAAAACCCTGACTACTTTCTGGAGTAAGTAAATAAGAGATCAGCATGAATGAAGCATTCAGTGTATTCTCGATGAACTAATCAAATGTTTTTGTTGGAAGAAATATTCAGGTGCATTTCCAAGCCGGGAATAAAATGGAGGCAGGTTGGAAAGAGTTAGTTTATTGATGAAGCAAACCACCAAGAGCATGTGATTCTGGGACAGCTGACAAAATGGAGCTGAGGATGGGTGGGTTTCTATACCTTCTTTGGGGTTTGCATTTGAGCTCCCTGTTCCTGTGCAAGAACATGTCCTTTAATATTCTAATGGTTGTTGTCAGATTCCTTTTTTTTTTTAAATACTTTATTGAGTTTTCCAAAACAAAAAAGAAAATGTACAATCTATCTCTCCTTTCGGAGGTGCAGTGTTTATACAATATAGTGAAACAAAAGTTAAAAAAAAAAAAGCTTCATCCTTAACTATACATTATTCTATACAATATAACTATAATTCATGTGCCAGGTCAAATTCTAAAGTCATGTTTTCATCTTATTGTTCAGCCAGTGATACTAAATACCCCATACATCATAATATTTTGAGTTGTCCTCGTTTTTTAACTCACTTGTCAGTTTCGCCATTTCTGCGCACTCTAGGATCTTATTTATTAGAGTTTCTTCTGAGGGGATAAGTTTGTTTTTCCAGCATTTTGCGAAGGCTAATCTAGCCGCAGTTATGATCTGAATTATCAGTTGGGTTTTATTATTGTTAAAGCCTTCTTTGGTTATGCCTAGGAGAAAAAGTTCTGGGGCTAGGACTACCTCCTGTCCCGTTATTTCACAGAGCCAGTGTCGGATTTTGGACCAGTACTTTTTAGTCTCAGGGCAAGTCCACCATAGGTGATAAAAGGTGCCGACCGTTTTTTCACATTTCCAACATGTGGGAGAGAGATTTGGAAACATCTTGGCTAGCCTCGCTGGGGCTAGATACCACCTGTGTAACAATTTGTAATGATTTTCCCTAAACGTTGTCGATTTGGTTATTTTGTAGTTTCTATTCCAAGCTATCTCCCAATCATTAAAATTTAGTCTATGTCCTAGATTTTTTTCCCAGATGTTCAGTTGATTTTTTGCTATGGACTCTGCCTTATCTTCATCTAATAAAAAGTTATAAATTTTTGTTAACATTTTCTTATCTGTTCCCCAAATAATTTTGTCAAAGTTTCCGTGTTTCGCTGCTATACCAAATTTATCTCTATCTTTTTGGAATCTTGAGCTAATCTGAAAATAGTTCCACCAATCCAAGTTAAGGCCCTGATCCCTCAATTGATCCAACGATTTAAGTTTCCCTTCTTCATCGAGGATGTCCTTGTATGTACCCCATTTATAATCATCTCTCCTGTTTGGAGCCGCCAACGCTTCCATAATGGAAAGCCAGTTGGGTACCTTGGTATAGATCCTCTGTCTAATTTCGACCCACGTGCGAATAAGAGTCTCCCTAATTTTGTGTTTATGGAAATAGGATTTTTTCTTGTTCTTTATATCCCAAAGGTAAGAGTGCCATCCTTCTAGGAGGTCGTGTCCTTCCAAAATCAGGATTCTCCTATCTTGTAACTTGATCCACTCCTTGATCCAGATTATTTTTGCCGCCTTTTGATATAATTCCCAGTCAGGGAGCCCAAAACCTCCCAAATTCCTTTTCCCTTGTAGTATCTTGAAAGAAATCCTCGATTTCTTGCCCTCCCACAGAAAATTTCTGATGTATTTGTTCAAGTCCAAAAAGAATTTTTTGTCTAATGATAATGGAATGTTTTGGAATAGGAACAGAATTTTAGGTAAGATATTCATTTTAATCGCTGCAATTTTACCAATCAGAGACAATTTGAGCTTTTTCCATCTTTCAAGGTCTAGGTGTGTTTTCTGCAGAAGGTGGATGTAATTATCATCTTTTAACAAGGAGAATCTCGCAGTAATCCATATTCCCAAGTATTTTATTTTCCTAACTGTCTGGAGGCCTAATAAATCTTCCAATTCTTCCTTTTGTAGATCTGTCATGTTTTTCACTATTATTTTAGTTTTATCCTTATTGAGTTTAAGGCCCGCCACCTCTCCATAGTCCTGTATTTCCTGCATTAATTTTACACCGGATTCTAATGGGTCTTCCATTATGAGGGCTACGTCGTCAGCAAAAGCTTGGGTTTTGAATATTTCGTTCCTAATCTTTAATCCTTTAATATCTTTGTTAGCTCTTATCTTTCTAAGTAGCACCTCTAGTGCCAAAATATATAATAAGGGAGATAAGGGGCATCCCTGCCTCACTCCTTTTTGGATCTGAAACAGCTGTTTTCTGTCTCCATTCACTAGTATGCTTGCCCTCTGGTTTTTATAGATATTCTCGATCATCTTCCTAAAGTTGGTACCGAATCCTATTAGGTCAATTTGATTTATCATAAAAGTCCAATTCAAGTTGTTGAATGCCTTTTGGGCATCAACAAACATTAAGGCCAGCTGTTTTTCAGGATGTTGTTCGTAGTATTCAAAGGTGTTTAAGACTGTTCTCAAGTTATCTCTGATCTGTCTCCCTGGGAGAAAGCCGTTTTGATCTTTATGTATCCACCGATTTAAAAATTTTTTGAACCTCTCCGCAATTATATTCATGAACAATTTATAATCTGCATTCAACAATGAGATAGGTCTGTAGTTGGATATCTGTTTCGGGTCGGCACCTTCTTTCAGTATAAGCGTCAAATATACTTCCCTCCACGAATCTGGGATTGTGATACCCACCAGAGCCTCATTTAGTATTTCTAATAACTCTAGTTTTAGGGCATCATCAAATTTTTGGTATAATTCCCCGGGGAGACCATCTGAGCCTGGAGTTTTATTCTTCTTTATTTTAGAAAGGGCCATTTTTAATTCCTCTATAGTGATCTTTTCATTTAACATTTCCTTTTCTTCTTCAGGGATTAGCGGTAGTTTAGCTTCCAACAAATACTGTTCTACCTTGTTTGACACAATTCCTTCACTTTTGTATAGACCTTCATAAAACTTTCTTATACTCTCTAATTTGTCTTCTTCCTTCGTCAGCAAGTTGCCCTGAAAGTCTTCTAATACTAATATTTGGTTTTTTTCCTTCTCTTTTTTTAGTTTATACGCCAGCCATCTCCCTGACTTATTAGCGTTCTCAAAACAGTAATGCTTGGATCTTTTTATTTTTTGCGCCATTTCCTCCTGGTCCAATAGATTCAATCTATGTCTCGTCATCGACCACTGTTGTTTAATCGCCTCATCTCCCGGGCATTGTTGGAGTTTATCTTCAGCTTGCGATAACTTATTGGTGAGCTCTTCTCTAGTCTTTCTTTTTTCCTTGTTTTTGAAGGCGATATATGAGATGGCAACCCCTCTCACATAAGCCTTCATAGTGTCCCACACAATTTCTTTGGCTGTCTCTCGGTTTCCGTTTTCTATGAAGAAACGTTTGACTTCTTCGTTCACTTTCAGTATAAACTCTTCTTCATATAGCAACTTAGTCCTTAGACTCCATCTCTGTTGTATTTTCTTTGTATCGCGGTGCCAGCTAATTTCAAGGAACTTATGGTCTGCCCAAGCATTTATGCACATGTTAACCTTTTTAATTTCTAGGCCCAGTTTTCTGGTAGCCCAGACCATATCTATTCTAGACCAGGAGTTTTGTGGCATTGAATAGAAAGTAAATTGTCTATCATGGGGGTAAGGTACGCCACATATCAACTAGGTTTATCTCGTCCACTAAATCAAAAAAGGTCTTTGGTAAAGGAGATCTTTTATTTTTTTTAGTTTTATCGCATTTGTAATCATATTTTGGATCTACAATTCCATTAAAGTCCCCTAGCATACATATTTCGTTATTTGCCCATTTTGCCAGCTGTTCATGCAATTTCCGGTAAAATTTCCCTTGTCTTTTATTCGGGGCATAAACCCCTACCAATAACACCTTGGAATTGCCTCTCATTATTTCTACTATAAGTAATCTCCCTTTTTCATCTTTATATTTACATTCTGCCTCTATTCCTTTCTTAACATAAATAGCCACCCCCCTTTTTCTTTTCTCGGCTAATGAAGAGAATACTTTACCAAATTTAGTAATTTAAATAGTTGGCTTCATCTTTTTTTATATGGACCTCTTGGATACAAATTATGTCGGGATTTTGTTTCGCCAATTTCGACAATATTATCCTCCTTTTTTTGTAATCATTTAAACCATTCACATTTAACGATAAGATCTTAGTGTCGTTCATTCCTGTAACTGTTCTCTAGTCTCTGGTTCTTATTTACCTTTTAATGTTACTGCTCTCACTGGTCTAGATTTTTTTCCCCTTTCTTCTGTGTCTTCCTTTTTCTTCTCCTCTTCTATATCTTCTGTTGTAATTTGTTTTTGAGATGTCTCTTCTTCCGTATTTACTATTTCGTTTTCCTCCTTACTA